GAACACTTAAATAATTTTTCAAAACATAACTTGATAGAAAAACTTAATCAAGCATACAAAAAAATATTACATAGTAGGGGACTTCAATTCAGGGTTAGGGTTAGGGTTTTGGGGTTTTAAAAAATAGAACAGTAGATGCCTATTTATATCAGGGGCGGGGGTGATTGACATTTTTGTAAAGAATTTTTTTGTTTTGTTTATCTAAATGTTAAACACAGCATATTGCTTGAAATGAAAGTAAATTAGACCTTTTAAACAGGCTGTTTAAAAGCGATATGAAATTTTAATAAAATTGTGTAATACAGTTTTATTATTTTAGAGACTATTGGGATATCCCAATATCCGGATATCCGGATATCAATATATTATTTTATATTTACATTAAGACAGTCACTACGTAGACTAAGAATTTACATAGATTAGGACTGACAGCAGCTAGTAAATAGTACAAAAAATATTAATATGTCTATATTATTTTACTTGATTTCTAGTAAAATAATATAGGCTGCAGTTCTTCAGTTTATAAGAAAATTCGGACTGAGTATAAGAAAAACCGAAAAATAAAAAAAAAGATTTATTTAAAAAGGGATCAATAACTATAATAAATATTATAAAACGAGAGCAATGCCTAAATAAACCTACAAAAATTACAAATCATTTATCTTCCTTAATTGATCAGGTATTCTAATCACTATTTATTATTTTAATTCAGTTTTCTTTAAAACATAAAGTTGTTAAGCGAGGAGAATGCGTGCTTTTCTATATAGAAGAAAATATCATTTATAATATTAGAACTTAATAACGGCTTTAAAAAAAATGTATTGTTAAAACTGATTTATAAGATCACTTTCCTTTTTTTTTCTTCTTTTTTTTCATATCTAAATGCAAGTTATAAATTAAATCTCCAGCGTAAGACAAATATAAAAAAAACTATAAAAAGTATACACACACAATAAATCAGGGGCGGATTTTATCATTTATTAAGGATGAAGCTATTATATATATTTTTGTTTTAGTTAACATTTGTTGCCAGTGCCGGCTTGAGCAAGCGAGAGACCCGACGTGAGTTTAGTATGCGAGGCCTTCAATGAAAACCTAAAAAACGGGAGGGGTTGAAGAGTACTAATGTCCGAGGGTAAAATCGTGTTTTTATATATAATCGTCTTTTATATATCAAATATATAAACATATATAAACAAAATATAATATACAGTATATAAATACTCAATAGTATCACTAGTTATTATATTCGACAAAAATACATGTTGTAATATGTTTTTCACAAAAATCATATATTATGCACATTATTACTTTTATTTTGATTATTAAATCTTATTTAGAAAGCTTAAAAAAAAAATACTGCCTAATGGGGCTCGACAGGGCCCAAAATTACTTCTACGATATAGTACACAATACATAATACAAAACTGAAACTTGGTTCGACAAAAGGATTTATATATAATAGTATTATTTTTTAGTGTATATTTATTTATTGATTTTTCACCAAAAAGATCTTTAAAAATGGATCAAAATAATATAACTATAATAATGAAACCATCACCAGAGAAATTATATAAAAGTAATATAACTCAAAAATTCCCACCATACACCATGATAGTATAAATATAACTAAATAAAATGTTAGAGCAGCAATATCTGCCTTAAAATTAAATAAATATTGAGAGTCTTTTGGCGTCTTGAACTGAACATTTAAAACAGGCATATTGTGACGCACTGACACATGGGCTAATAGATTTCTTTAATTAATCAATTAATTATGGATGGACTCAAAAGTCGATGTCTTCATCTATCATTATACCAATTGTTGAATAATAAAAAAGTCTCTATATAGTCTTATAATACTCAAGTAACCATCGCGGTATGAGTATTATACCTATTTTTACAAATGTTCTAGAATATTTAATTTTAATAATGTCTATTATGTCTAGAGATAAAGAACAATCATTCTCTTCAGTTTGGTTTTAACTCTAACAGTTCAACTTTCCATGCAGAATTTTTGATCAATGAAACTATTAAATAATACAACAGTAAAAACTGGTATAAATATAAGTAAAAAGCGAACTTTGCATTTAATTAGGACCATCTTTTCATTATGCATATTTATTATATAAAATATTTAAAACTCCAAATATTTCACTTTATTAGGACAAATCGATCACCGCATCTCGATCATAACAAATATCTACAAGATCTTCTCGAAACTAATAAAAATAAAAGTAATTTTGACTGGGATTTCGAGAGGGAGGGGGAGGGGCGACGTAGGCAAATTGACCCAGGTACCAAGCTTGAAAGGGCGCCGGACAATCCGTTTTTTTTGTTTTTTGTTTTTAAAAATAGGTAAAAAATATTTTAATGACTGACAATATAAAATCTGCTTAGTTTTTGTATTTAAAATTGAAACTTTAGTATTTGAAATAAAAATGCACAAAATTAACTTTTAAATTCTATTATTATTAATTTATAAACTATTTTTGACGAAAAAAATAGGATTTAGTTGCAGTTGAATTAGACAGAACCGGGCGTATTTTGCAAGCCCATGAACAGTAAGCCATGCTAGCTCGTACTTGATAAGTTAAGAGAAGTTAAAGTTAAGAGAAGTTAAAGCGAACGAGATACTTGTTGACGATTTCACGATAAAAAAAGGCTTCTTTTTCCAGTAGTGTTAGCTGTAGAAACAAAAGAGAAAATCTAGCGTAGTATTTTTTAAGAAAAAAAGCTGCCTTGTTTCTATCAGGACCCTAAATAGTCTTCTCAATCTTATTTCAGAGCACCGTGGAAAAGCGTTTGAAAGGAAATTCACGCGTCCTACTTTACCGGGGTATAAAACTAGCCCAGAGGTGGCGTTGAACCACAGATCTCTAGTTTCTGAGCAAGCGTGCTAACCACTGCGCTACGGCAGCTCAAGTTGCTTGAGTTTTTGTATCAGGTTTAGATTAGACAGAATGCCTATTTTAAACCCAATAGAATAATTTTTTTTTTTTTTTGCTCAAATTGTTGGCAGAAATGTCGAAATTTCAATTCGATGAGTTGGTGAAACTTGTTGAAGTGAGGCTTCTAGTTTACAGTTAGGATAAGTGTTTATGTTGATTAAATAAGTATTTGGTCATTAAAGAGGTATTTGATTATTAAATTAGTATTTGGTTATTAAATTTGGTTATTAAATAAGTATTTGGTTAATCAAGATGAATGATAAACAATAAGTTTTATTATGTTTTATAGTTGATAATTATAGGATAGGGTGGGGCAAGTTGACCCGTGGGGCAAAAAGTCTTTGTACTTTTGTAAGCCTGTTATAGAAAGGTAATGTTTTATGCCTCTACTAAACTATTTATAAAGTTAAAATAGTATAACGGAACAAAAAATACTTTTAATCTTGCTATTAGTTGAGGTTTTATGCAATGTATAACTTTTTGTAGGATTTTTTTAGTAAACTGCTTTTAATTTCAAATCTTTATTGGACAGTCAATATTTATGCGATTAAGGTAATAAATTTGCTGCTTTACCGAGAATTTATCCAACAATAATATAAAGTAAAAAAGTTTTAATACATGCGCGATAAAGTTAGTTTTATTTGTATTAAATTTGTACTTACTTCAGATGAGGAAAGATGTTCTCTGTTTCGAGGGGTAAGATGCCTTCTTGCTTTGAGGTTTTACGGCATCTCTGCCATTTTAAAAGAACAAGATAGTAATTTTTGTAACGAAATAGCGTTGAGATATTTAGTTGTTGACTTTGATTATATGTTGGTTTAGATGTTTAGATGTATTATACATATTTATAAGTGTTTTTTTAATGATTTTATATATTTAGTTAAAGGTATAAGATGTAGCTAAGTAAAGAAAAGTTGTATTACTAAATTATAGTATTTTTAACTTAAATTTTAAGTAAATGATATCATTTAACTTGAAAAACTACTTGGAACATTTGTTTAAATTATAAAATTTTTTTCTTAAAAAATGTTATTTATAAGTATATATAAAATTATTATGTATTTTGTATATTTGTAATTAGAGCTTTTTTTTATGTCAATATCGCATTATTAAGCTTAATAATTCTTAAGTTCTTGAATTAGGACTTATGTAACTTTTTAATTAAAGAGTTTTATTTATGTGTTTAAAACATAGCATTAATAAGGTTGTATTAAGTATTAATACACAATTATGTGTGTTTGTATGTTTATCTGTTTATGTATATAAATTAGGCCTAAATTTTAAGATTTTTATATTTCTTTAGATTACATATTGAAACATAAATAATGGTGAGAAATTATGTTCGAAAAACACAGAAAGGTGTAACAAATGATAAAATAAAGTCTAAATTATTCGCTATGAAAACAGGTTGCAGTCTGACAAATGCTGCATTAGACTTTAGTGTTGATAAAAAAACATTACAATGTCATCGTGACGGAAAAGTAAAGGTAGTTGGTGGTCTGTCTCTGAGTGGAAAATCTCCTGTTTTTAGTGATTTTGAATTAAATATTGTTACACAAGCTCAGATTATGGAGAAAGCATTATTTGGCTTAAAAACAATAGATGTTCGTCGTCTTGACAACAATAGATCTGCTTCGTCATATGATTTTACAACACAAATAGATAATCCTTTCAATAACAAGTCAAAAATGGCCAGAGGGGGTTAGCAGAGAAGATTCATGTCTTGCAACGCACAACTTTTTATTCGAACACCGTAAGCCACCAGTGTAAGCACAACTGTTGGCTTCAATAAGCCAACACTAATGCAAATTTTTTTCAATATACAAATCATTATTTGAGAAACATAAGTTTTCAGCCAAACAGCTTTGGAATATGGATGAAACTGGAATCACTAATGTCCATAAGCCAGGAAAAATAGTTTTAACAAAAGTAAAACGACAAGTTTCAAAAATAACTAGTTGAGAACGAGGTTCTACTGTAGCAGTTGTGTGTGCAAAGAGTGTCAATGCTGCTTATGTTCCACCATTTTTATTATTTCCCCGTAAGAGAATGAGAGATAGGTTGGTAGTTGGTGCAGCCCCAAGCTCCATTATTAGAGTTACCTCCAGTGGGTGGACTGATTCATCTTTATTCATTGAATTGTTAAAACATTTTGTAGCTGTGACTCATGCATCTAAAATTAATGAGCAATTAATTGTAATTAATGGTGTCCGTCTCACAATTCTTCCACCTCATTGTACACACAAGATGCAACCTTTAGATCGTACATTTTTTAAATCATTAAAAGTTAGCTACAATACAGCAGCAAGCAGTTGGATGTTATCCAATCAGGGGCGTAGAACTTCATTTTTTGACATGGTGGGTATTTTTGCAACTGCTTATAACTTTACTGCTAACATTGACAAAGCAATCAATGGGTTTAGATACACTGGTTTATATTCAATAAATGAGTTTTACTAATGAAGCTGAGCCTTTGGAAATCTGTCAGTAACCACTTGTTTTGTCTGATTTACCCCTTATTGCACCAATACAGTAACCAGTTGTTTTGAGCACAACAAATGCAAAATTGAAAGGTTTTTTTTACAAAAGAAACACCACAATTAAATGATGTAGTTTTACCGCTTTAAAAAACACCATTTTTGCAAGTCGCTGATAATCTTGGTTTTAATTCTGCCCCTGAAATTTTGGAAAAAATTTTCCCACGTCCCAAAATTGTTGTATTAAGACAGCGAAAAAGAAAGACAGAGTCCGCTGAAAATCTTACTTCATAACCTTTCAAGAAGCAACTAGAAGAATATGAAAACAATTTGAAAGAAATGCAACAAGCAACCATAATGCAAAAAACAAATGCTGCACTTAATAAGGTGATCAACCAAAAAAAAAACATAAAAAAAAAAAAACTAATGAAAGTAAGAAACCAAAGACAAGAACTGAAAATATGGTTTCTGCCTCTGAATGTATTAATGATACAACTTTATGCAACATATGTTCTTGTGAATACAATGTGCCACAATTTGACGATTGGATGCAATGTATTAAATGTACATCTTGGTACCACTTTCGTGTGGAACAGATAATTCAGACTTATGCTTCTACTGGGAATCATAGTATTGTATATATTATTTGAACATTTGTCCTTTTTAGTTATTTTTTCAAAATAACTTACAATAATAACTTTTATTTTTAGGAACTTAGTTTTTATAACTGTTTTAAAAGTGTATCTGTTTGATTTTAGTTATTATATGGGGCTTATTTATTATATATGCTCTAAGAAATGCATCTTGCCCCACGGCAAGATACAAGGCTGGGGCAAAATTCTTCCCGCACAATTTATTATTTTTTCGATTTTCAAGTTAATCACAAGTAATAAAGTAGTTTTTTATTTTATAAATGTTTTTTTTTTTAAGTAAAGGTTGATATTTAAAAAAAAGCGCTAGAAAAGTGTTTGTTATATACGACTTAGTTTGTAAACGGGGCATCTTGCCCCACTCTACCCAAGGTTAATTTAGTTTGCTGATAATTTAAAAAGGATTTTTAAAATTTTATATATATATATATATATATATATATATATATATATATATATATATATATATATATATATATATATATATATATATATATATATATATATATATATATATATATTATGATATATATTCATGAGACGGAGTGTCTCTTAGGAATCGATATAACGGTCTATTGCAGACCATTAAAACCTTTGTTTATAAACTAACAATAAATTACAAATTTTTTTAGGTGTTTCTAAAAAATGAGTCGAAAGAAATCTTCTGGCGCTCAAAACCGTGCTAATAAAAAAGCAGCAAGAAAATAGACAGTCTTTAGAAAATACGGGATTTAAAACCATAACACAAACCAAAGAAAATGCTTCTTCTTCAAAAACTCGATTAAGTTCTTCAGTAAGTTAACTGTTTTTTGCATCATATTTTTGTTCTTCTAACAACATCTGGTATTATAATCTTTGTCGCTATTACTAATTTTTTTTAAGGATTTCTTTTATAATGACCATGACTCCCAGCCTGTCTATGAGTGTCGAGAGGAACCAATGAGCTCTCCTTCTCTTTCAAGATCACCTGCTGCACTCAAAATGTATGGTTTAAAAAACTGTGGATATGTGGGTGCCTCAAAAAGTTTACCTGAAGTTGAGTTAAATGAATTTCAAAATTACTCATCAGAATCAGAAGGAGAAACTTTATCCAACAAAGGAGGATGTGGTGTTTAATCTGACTTGATAACAATTAATGCTGACCCCTATTTGTGGCCAGTTGTTTTAAGTCAAAAAGATCAAGATATAATCATTTTAAAGGGACTTCCTTCACATTCTTTGAAGCAACAATATTATTCCCGTGATAATAAGAAGAGAATCTTCCCTTTGAATGTGTTTTATCGATCTTTGCCTAATAAAGAAAAAGTAGAAAGAAGTAGAAAATTTTTATTTTGGAGCCTAATTTCCATGGATCTCTACTGTTTTCCTAGCTTTCTCTTGGGCACGAAAGCAGTATTCAAAAGCGGAGGATTGTCTCTTCTTCGTTGGAACAGAGGAACTAAGGATTAATGGAGGAAACTCATAGATCGTGTGAAGCAGTATCAATCCAGCCGATCAATTTTGACAGCTAAATGGAGGACAATTCTTCGTCAAATTCTTCTTCTTTTCTTCGTCAAATTCTTCTGCTTCTAGAAATTTAGCTTTTCTAGGTAACTTATTATAAGACTCTCTCAATATCAATTTTAATTATTTATATATTTATCGTAATAATTTAACTATATTATTATGTACAATTATGTATGAAGATGAAACAACACATGTGAATAGGAAAGTAAATGGAAACTTTTTTGCCTGTATGGAGTTTATTGGTCGCCACAACCATACATACATCCCGCTTGGAAGATGTAATGCGCAATAAACAAGAGGGCTCCAGAATGAGTGCCCATTACCTCTCTCCGTTGTCTTACGGAGTTCATTAGAGAATGTGGTGGTATCACCAAAAATGCAGCTGTCACAGAAATTTAGGATAGTATCTACTTCACCATCACAGTCGATGGTACCTCCAATACATTTCACACTGAGGAGATAACCTTTGTTATTCGTTTCCTCCTCTATGAAAGAGAAACTAATTGCCGGCAAATCAAAGAAAAACTTTTGTGTTTTGAAGCTTTCGAGAAGAAGAAAGGACCTGATACAGTCAAGCTTATCACTAATGTGATTGCAAGGCTAGATTTATATACGTATAAGTATTTTTTATTACAAGTTCTGCCCGATGGAAGATCTTTACTGAAGCAATAAGAATTTTACTGTTTTGACTTTCTATGACAAGATGAAGTTCTTGTACCGACACAATCAAACCACTTGCCAAAAGAAAATAACTGAAATACTGGCAGAGAAATACTGGTAGCTCTTAATAATGCAATGAAAAACCTGGATTTGACCAGTGAGCAGCTTAGCTAAGAAAGAGCCTTAAAAAAAAAGTTATCATTTTTTTAATTTATACTGCTAATTACGATTTGGTACAAAACCCTTACTGCTCTTGACAACGTTTGTCGTCTACTACAATCTAAAGCCATCACCATTGATGATGAGCTACGTTTGATTATTCAGCTGCTGGAAGATCTTAAGCAGATTAGAAGCTCTTTGTTGCAAATTTTTCAAGGGGCTATAGCTGTTGCCGGATCGCTAGGATTCAAAACTGAACTCGCTGCTAAAAGAAAGCGCAAGCTGAAGCGCTTTCACGATTAAGCATCAAACACAGCCTATTTTTAAGACAGCAAAATAAAAGAATTCAAAGCAAACGTTTTTAATGTTGGCTTAGATGGTCTAATCCAGCAGATTGATTCAAGGTTTGAGGTAAGCAGAATGGTTGACAATATATTTTTATTCATATTGTTGGATAATGGTGATCTTCCGCTCAAAATAAAGCTTGTGAACTTGCATGATTTTATCCAAGAGATGCAAACAAAGAGGGTCTCATTGAAAAAGTTTGACGTTTTAAAAATATCTGCAAAACATTTTTAAAGCAAGGAAACCCACTTCAGCTACTCAAATCAAATCTTCAAGAAGAAGCTTGAACGTTTTTTTCCGTACATTTGCATCTTGCTCCAGATTTTCAACACTATTCCTGTGTCAGTTGCTGAGGGTTAACAATCCTTTTGTAAACTAAAGATTATAAAAAAACTCTCTCCGTTCGACCGTGGGCCGAGATCGCGTAACTGATCTTTTGATTTTGTCGATTGACTTTTTGTTTATTGTTTTTAAAACTAATATTTTAGTTCATAAGCCAGTTTTAACTAATGAACCGTTTCTCAATCCAGAGAATTAATAGTAACCCAGAAGTACAACGCACTGTTTTAAAAATAGATAATTGCTGCGTTCACAAAAAATTTAAATTTTGCAATTTCTTGGTTTGAAATAGGGGCGCTATTCTCCATTTTTGACCCGGGCGCCATTGGCGCTCTCAAATACCCTGAATGTTGATACATTTATATATAATAACTTTACTGGTGTAGTAGACTATGCTGACGATATCTTACTTCTAAGTTCAATTCTCTTTGGTCTTGAAAAGTTATTTAAAACTCGTAACATATTCAGCAAATCAAATTTCATAAAATTAAATCCTGAAAAAACAGATTTCCTCCTTACATGTAAAAAAAATGTACAACATTCTGATTTCCTCCTTACAGTTAAAAAAAATGTACAACATTCCTTGCTGGTAATCAAATAAATTTGAATAAAATAAACAACGTAGGTTTCATATGGGACACAGAACACTCTTATTTCGCCTCACCTAATCAGGTAATCTTTTATATTAAATCTTTTATGAATGCATTTATATATCGACCCAAATTTTGTTTGATCCTAACTTGACTATTATTTGTAGGCAATATTTAATGATCAACAAAATAGTTATTATCAATGAGTAAAGGATTTAGGAATAGGTAACAGAAAAAATTGTAATGGCACACATAAAGAACAAAAGTAACCTAAATTTAAAAACAAAGATGAAATGATTAATATAAAATACAACCATACTTCTCTTTGAATCATAGTTTTTTGTAACTGATCGCAATGTTATCACAATACCGCGTAAACATTACAGAAAAAATATCAAATTTCTGGCTAGCGATCCAAACTTTTACTCAATATAGAATTCGATTTGCCCATTCAAGATCCATTAATCAATTATATCAAAACTTGGCAATTCCAACATTAACTTACAGTTTCGAACTTTGCAGAGGCATGACGAGATATGCAATAACTAGACAAATCGGAAGGAGTGCATTAAAATTGCTTTTAAATCTTTCGAAACATTGCAAAAATTATTTACATTCTTTTTTTAAAATCTAAGGCATATCAAAATTCACTAAAATAAGTTGAACTTATTTATTCGTCTTTTGGACAACAAATCAACGTATGACCTATAAAAATTCATACACTAAAATAAGTT